CATTTTAATCCCAGCATTTGGGAGGCAAAGGCAGGGAGATCTGTTTGTTCAAGGCCAGCCTGGTCTACAAAGTGAGTTCCAGGCCAGCCAAAGTCGTCCGGTGAGATCTTATCTCATGTGTTTGTTGTCTGGGGTAGATGGATAGACATAGGTGATGGGACTGGATTCTGGGGACACAGCTAGTGGACTGGAGCTGAGCAATAACACTTTTGAAGGTCTACTGAGCAGGTGTCCATGTGACCTACGGACTTCAGAGAACAGTATTTGGTTCTAAGCTTTCTTTAACCATGTTTTAATTATGTGCTTTGTCTTTTAACTACAGGCCTCAAGGATTTAACAATGGGGTGGTGGTGGCAAACACTTTTAGTCCTAGAGTTCCCAGGCTGAGGCAGTCAGATCTCTGAGTTTAAGGGCAGCCTGGTCTACAGAACAAGTACAACCTGAGGTACAGGTACACAGGGAAACCCTGTTTCAAAAAAAGAAAAAGACAGAAAGAAAGAAAACAATAGGTCATGTATCTACTCTTTGATCAACAGAGCCAGTTTCTGGCATCAGTAAGGAAGAGCTCTTATGTCAGTAAAAAAAAAAAAAAAAACCAGGGCAAATCAAGCAAACTGTGGAAAATATGGGGCTAGTGACATGGCTCAGGGGTAAAGGTGCTTGCTGTGCAATCTGAGTTAGAATATTGGAACTTTCCCTTACCCCAGTAATAATAATAATACACTTTTAAAAAGTTGTGTAAAGCCAGGCGATGGTGGCGCACGCCTTTTAATCCCAGCACTCGGGAGGCAGAGGCAGACAGATCTCTGTGAGTTCGAGACCAGCCTGGTCTACAGAGCTAGTTCCAGGACAGGCACCAAAGCCACAGAGAAACCCTGTCTCGAAAAACAAACACAAACACAAAAACAAAAAACAAAAAAGTTGTGTAAAATTTAAGTCTTTTTCTGAGAATTTCTCTTTTCGGGGGTTGGCATGCGGGTTTGAGACAGGGTCTCTGTATGTACCTCTATCTGTCCTGGAACTCATTAAGTAGACCAGGCTGGCCTCGAACTCCCAGAGATCCGCCTGCCTCTGCCTCTCAAGTGCTGGGATTAAAAATGTGTTCCACCTTCGAGGCCAGCCTGGTCTACAAAGCTAGTTCCGGGATAGGCACCAAAGCTACAGAGAAACCCTGTCTCGAAAAACCAAAAAAAAAAGAACCAAAGAAACAAAAATGTGCCCCACCACCATCCAGCTTTAAATCCTAAAATTTCTAAGCAGCTTTTTTTTTCTTTTTCTTTTTTAAATATTTATTTATTTATTAGGTATACAGTATTCTTTCTGCGTGTATGCCTGCAGGCCAGAAGAGGGCACCAGATCTCATTACAGATGGTTGTGAGCCACCATGTGGTTGCTGGGAATTGAACTCAGGACCTTTGGAAGAACAGGCAGTGCTCTTAACCTCTGAGCCATCTCTCAGCCCCAGCTTTTTTTTTTTCTTAATTTGAAGTTTGTGTGACTATATCTGTGTGAAGATACATGCACATGTATGAGCATGTCCACTTGGAGGTTAGAAGAGGGTGTTTGATGTCTTGGAGCTGTAGTTTCAGAAGTTTGTGAGACACCTGTCATGGATGCTGAGATGCAAACGCTGGGCCTTCTGAGTGAGCTGGGTTGGCTCTCGCTGGCTGAGCCATCTCTCTAGCCCCGAAGTAGCTTTATTTTTCTGCTATTCTGACCTGGATAGATATCTCCACACCAACCATCAGATGTTTGCATTGTTTTTCTGCTGGAGTTCAGTTTTTTTTTTTTTTTAAATGATCATAAGGCTGGGCGATGGTGGTGCACGCCTTTAATCCCAGCACTCAGGAGGCAGAGGCAGGTGGATCTCTGTGAGTTCGAGACCAGTCTGGTCTACAAGAGCTAGTTCCAGGACAGGCTCCAAAGCCACAGCGAAACCCTGTCTCGAAAAACCAAAAAAAAAAAAAAAAAAGAAAAAAAAAAGATCATAAGGTTTCTTGTTAGAAGAATTCAGTGTTTCTGAGCTCAGGCAACTCCTATGTGTCTTCATTGCTAAAACATGGACTTGTTTTGAACTTTACTCCAGTTCTAATAATCTGTTTATGTGAGGACAGTTGGCTTGTATGTGTAATCAGAGCACTGAGGAGCAGTGGCAGGTTCAAAGCAGCTAGAGCAGCATACGGAGACTGTCTCAATTAAAATCCCCAAACTAATGTCCCCTCCTAACCTAGGGTCTTGCTGTGTTTTTATTAGTTCTCCAGTTCAAAGGGAAGACAGACTCCATGAAGGACCACAATACACAATGAGGATACCTCAGTTTGTCAGATGGTGTTGGTCTGACTACTGGATTTTTCTGTTGTTTCCTGTCAATATGTGGGCTCCTTATTGCCAAATTATCCCTGTATATTAGGATACCCTTTTACGTGTTGGGCTTTTGGCAACTCGAGTACTAGGGATATTCCTAAATTGGATATAAACCCCACTCACGATAGGTCCACTAATGCCCTTGGATGTGATGATAATGCCAAAGCTTTTCACAGTTTTCAGAGTCCCCCTCTCATAACAGAGTAGGATTCTATCTATTTCCAACTCTTCTGATGTTAGATTTGGCCATGTGATTTCACTGGTCAATAAAATGTGAATGTACATTGCTTCTGATGGAAGATTTTTAATTTTTAATTGTTTTAAACAGCCAGAGCAAGACATTGAACATCTAGCAATTAAATTCTATGATCCCTACTCTGGAAATCTTGAAGGCCCATGTCTTAGGGAAGCATCCAGCAATCCTGGTACCTCAGGGAATGCAGTGAGTGGAAACCCTGAAAAGTACACCATGCAGAGTTCCGTAGATCTACAAGACACATTCCTTCTCCAAACACTGGAAGCCCTGGTAACCGACAGGTGGATCCTTCCTTGAGAATTTTTCTTGACTAAGGTCCCCTTCCATCCCTCCCTGCAGTCTCTATACAACAACTGGTTGATAGAGACCTGGTGTCCTGCCACATTTTGGGACAATCCTGAAAAAGTCACCCTAATTCCAGAGTCCCTGAAGATTGGTGGAAACTTCATTTGCAACTATGTTACCGCTCAGTCCAGCCGAGGTCTCTAGTTCTGTCTGCCTTGATTCCAGAGAGATATTCTAACATTGCATACAAACCCCACTCCTGATAGGTCTCCTAACGCTTCTACTAAACACAAACCAGGGTAAATACATTTGTCTCAGTAAGCTAACAAGATCTGGGGGACGTTACTATAACTTAGCCCATCCTGATCACTGGATAGGACCTTACTATCTGTTCTGTCTTCACCCGTTAGACTTGTACTGCTGTCTTCTCTAGTAGATTACGTCATTGCTAACTTTTGTGAATCATCACATCTCAACTAGAGAGTGATTTTTAAGGGCAACAGAAAAGGAAGGAACTACATACCAAGGTCTACGGATTAATTATTCCTGCTAAATTAGTGGCATGAACTTTTTCACCATGAATTTCCTAAGACTTCCTTCCTACATAATTTATTACGCATATATAACATGTACAAGGGCACTTACTTAATGCTTCTTAGGAAAATTTTATGCAAATAATAGTTGAATAATAAAGTACTCGACCGCAATTCGAGGAAGAAAAATTGTATTTCACCAGTTAACAAACTTCCTGCACCTTCAACATCTGTCATTTCTCTGAGAACTAGATCTCATGTCTTGAAAGCTAAATGTTAAAACAATGCCAGTTCCTTATTTTAGGCCTTTTAGTCAAAATAAAATATGGTAGTAAAGGTAAGGAGCCAATGCATATGCTCCTTATTTTTCAAAAGGGATTTTATTTCATAGAAAAAAATTCTCTCTGCCTGAAGGATAAACAATATAAAAATATTTCAGCTAAAACAAAACAAAACAAAAAAAAAAAACCAAAAACGAGAGCCCTGGGCAGGTATTACCACAACTCTTAATTATAGCAGATATTTACTATGATAACAGAAACCAGTTTAAGGAATGTGATTTATTAACATCACGTTCAGATAAAGAGATAAAAGACTTGAATAAGCAAGCAAACTTGAGGAGTGTATTTATGAATGTATCCTGGAACAGCCTTTAGCCACAATGAAAGACCGGCAAAACCAGCCTTCAGAACAGCCTTTCTGCCTACCGGGAGAAGGGAGGGCTAGACTTCATCTCTTAAGATCGCCCTCCCACGCAATTTTTCCACCTCGCAGTTAAAGAATTAAACCCAGACTTCCGATCATGGCGCCAAGCACGTCACCTTCTCCCTTCTCCTCTAGCAAAATCCCACCCAAGTCGGCTGACCCCCGCAGGGGATAGTCATAGTCCCCCCCTCCCCTATCCTGGTTGCCTGAATCTAACCAAACTGTGATTAAAAAAGAAATAAAGAAAATGCTTAAAGCCGTCCTGGGAAACTGCGGTGCGGGCGAGACCTTCCGCATGGCTTGAGTGAGGAGACAGGCTCCCACTCCATACCTGGAGGCAGAAGTCTGCGCCGGCCGCAGCTCTCCTGCAAAGCCCCTCCAGCCTTTGTGCACACCACCCTCCCCGGGAGAGGCCGCGGGGACGGCTGCTGCAGGAAAAGGCCGACCCGGGTGGCCTAGCGCGCGCACGGGGCAGCGTCGCGGTCCTCCCCGCGGAGGCCGAGGCTTTTGTTTGCACGGCGAGGGGAGGGGAAGGCGACGCGGCCCGGGGTCTCGGCTCCCGCTGCAAACGGCGGCGGGACGTCCTCCAGGCTTTGCGCCCAGACCCCAGGGTAGCATGGCCTCTCCTGCCCCCCCCCCCCCCCGAAGCTCGCACAGATCGCCACGCCATCCACGTGCGGAAGGGACGCGGGTGTGAGGAGGTGGAGGGGGGAAACCGAGGCTGCCCGCCCCACGCCGGCCCCACCCTGCCCCGGGTCCGCCCGGGCGACGAGACGCCGCGCCAGGGCCAGCCTGGGAGCGAGGGGCGTGGCCGGGCGTGGCCGCGGGCGCGCAGGCGCAGTGCGTCTCGCCGCCGGCGCCGCCGTAGCCGCCCGCGCTGCACCACTGGCCCGAGACAGACAGGGGTCGGGGAGAGAGAGAGGGGAGGAGGCGGCGGCGGAGGCGGGGCGACTCCGGTGACCGGGAGCGCCTCAGACTGGCAGCTGCGGCGACTCCCCCCTTTGTGTCTGGTCTGCTCGGAGCCGCCGGAGCCGCTTCCCGGAGGGGTGTGGGGTGTTTCGCAAGCCCCCGCTACCCACCCCTTCCTCGGCCACCTACGTCCGTCTTCCCGCCGCCCCCCGCCCTCGGCCCGCGACGCCCAGAGCTGCGGAGAGCGAGGCGGCGGTGGCGGCGGCGGCGACGGCGGCTTCTGCTTCTTCCTCGGGCTGTGCTGGCTGTGATTCGTTCCTGAGAGCCGTCGACGGGAGGAGACCGGGCTTCTTCCACGGTGCTGGGATTTCCTGCAGGCCCCCGGAGCCGAGCGGCGGGAAGAGCCGACAGCGAGGCCGCGCGGGCCGAGCGCCCTCGGAAGGCCAGCCGGGGCCGCCCCGCACCTCCCCGCGTGCGGCGCTCCGGGGCTCGCCGGGGCCGCGACCCTCGCCTCCCCTCCCCCGCGCCCCGAGGCCCGGCCTGCTGCCTGCCTGCCTGCCTGCGCGACCCTCGCGCGATTGTTCCGAGGAAGCCGTGGACTCGCCCATGGAGGCCGGCACCTTTTTCGACCCAGTCGGTGGAGAGGATTTATTGATGTCGGAATCCGAGTGAAGCAAGCAACGAGGCGAAACTTTCAACGGAGACCCTACCCGTCTGCACTCCGAGTCCGGAGCGATGCGACTCGGGCGGCCGGGCGCCGCCGCCCGCCCTGCTGCGCCCTTCCCGGCGGTCGGGAACTTGTTCTGATCCTCAGTGCCCCCATCGAGTCCCCGCCCTCCATCCCCCCCACCCCCACCTCCGGCACTCTGGATATGTTTTCTCCCAGATCTGGATATTTTTTTGATATCGTGAAGCTACGAGGGAAATAATTGCAGGCATTTCTTCAGGGCTCTCTGCTTCTCTCCTCCCTCTCCCTCCCTCCCCCCACGGACATGCCTTCAGTTTGGGGAGCCGAGGCACCCTGTCCTAGGCGAATGAAGCCCCCCAGCCACGAGGGAGCGAAATGAAGGGAAATTCTGCAGTGGAATGAGAGCTCTCCAGCTAGGTCCTCGCATCTGCCATTTGTCCATTCAAACTGTATTGTAATCCGGGCAGGATAAATCAGACGGAGAGACGAGCAGCCTCCTGGCCGGCTTTCTCCGCCCGAATTTACTTTCCACATTTCTTTTCTTTGCCTTCCTGCTTCTTGGCTGGCCCAGGGATGACTTCCTCGCTGCAGCGACCCTGTCGGGTGCCCTGGCTGCTATGGACCGCCCTGCTGGTCAGCACTACGGCTGGTGAGTAGCCCTGGGTGGCGCGTCCGGTCTCCTACCCCAGCGGGTGGCGAGGGAGGGTGCCTGCAGAGGCCAAGGCCTGTGCTCGCCCTTCTCAACGTGTGCGCTCGGATCCCGGTGGAGGAACCTGCCAGGGAAATCACCTGCACTGTTTTCGTGTAATTTCCCGTCCCCACTCTCGTATTCCCTGACCCCTCCCCCACGGGGGGGGGGAGAAAGACATATTGGGTGTGGTATCTTGACATTTTTAGCTGTGAGGTAATGCAAGGATTAAAAATATTATTTCAATCGCTAGTGAATTGTGTCTATTAGATTTTGGAGATAGAACTGGTAGGTTTTTTCTTTTAATGTAAAGAAGCAGATTTGGTTTACAATAGAAAGAATTAAATACTCACTTGATTGAACCTTATTTTTACATTTGGGTCACTCTTTGGGAATCCGCGTTACTTTTCGTTATTTAAAAATGTTACCTAATGAATAGAATAATGTTGAGGAAGGCAGAGTGTGAGAATCTTGGTACGTTGTATAATACTGTTTGTTGCTGCCATCGTTAATGTTGTTTTGCCCGCAAGAATCTTAGCTATTCTCTGTCTTCTCAGCCTGGACATTTGTACTTTGTATGCTTTTGGAGTTACTGCTGGGCACACAAGTGTTTTGATAACTTTGCTATTAGTCATCTGGCGTCTGTTGGCTTTCCTGTCATTGAGACAACTTTGACCCCGCATCAGACTTCTAGGAGATTTGACTCCTGAAAGTTCTTTGACATTTACTAACGTGTGAAAGGAAACGGTCCTCCCCTTTCCCTTGGCCATTTCCCTTTTAATTCTCAGTCGCCTTGAAAAGAAAAAAAAAAAAAAACACAATACATTTTCTCACTGCAGTTATTTTCAAGCAACGATTTTCGTAGTCTGCGTTTAGAAAAATTTCAGGAATGAATTCTTAAATTAGTCACATGAAGTATGCATTTTAAAGCGAGTAGGCAAAGTAATGGTTTTTCAAATTTTTAAAAGTAATTTTCACATTCAGTAAAATTTTCAATGCTGTATTAGACACACAGATTATTTGTTTAATTTACATTTTAGAGGTCTGTCGTTTCCTTTTGTGAATTTGATACTATTGTCTATTGTTGATTAATATTTAGTATTTTACATTTTTGGTTGTGAGCCTAGCCTTTAACAACTGAGCCATCTCGGGCAGCCCATTATATTGCTTATTTTAGTAATAAATCTATATAGTGTTAAAATCATTGGAAGATCTGATTTGATTACATTTTGAAACTTGATGTTTCAATATTTTTGATTATTTTATTTCTTTCTGAAGCAAAACTGAAATGTTTTTCTCTAAATTTCTTTGTTAGCTGTCTAAATTCTCTAGCCACAAGTCATGTGGCTCCTGTAAAATATGAAAAGAGCAGAAAAGGCCTAGACACGTAAGCAGTCATTCTGCAGGCAGAAATAAAAGAGCGTTTTGTGTTTAAATTCTCCTGACCATTTTAGAATGCAGATTCTCATTTATAGTGTTGCCCTCATCGTTTTGTGACCAGAACTGATAAAAGTCAGAGAAAAATTAACACTGATTTCAAAACAGTTTTTATTTGGTAAATGAATTTCGTCCTCTTTAAAAAGGGTCTTTCTTATCTGTAAAGGCTCCTTATATAAATGTGGTTATAGTCCCAGATGATGGCATTTCTGAAGCTGGATCCTAGAGCTGTCATAACTGGTGTTTACTGAGTGCTTGCTATACACCAGCAATTATTAAAAGAGCTTTACAAATATTTTCTCCTCTGATCCTCCTGACAGTTCTGTAGCCTAGGCTTTTATTCCCCTTTTACAGAGAGCAAGAAAATTAAGTGCAGAGTTTTAAGTAACTCATCACAGTAAACTGAGGAGTTGGGATTATAGCCTGCATCCTTCCACACCTTCTCGGTGCCGACAGCAGGAGCAGCGGAGCCAGCAACAGCTTCCTCTCACTGTAACTGGAGCGTGAGATTTGAAAGGAAGCTACGGGTACTGGTCATGCACTGCCATGGTTCTGAACGTGTTAAAAACTTTGTCTCACTCTGTGAGTTCGAGGTCAGTTTGGTCTGCCTAGTGAGTTCTAGCCAGGGCTCCATAGAGAAACCCTATCACAGGAACAAAACAAAAACCAAAACCAACTAACCAAACAGAAAACAACTTTGCCTGATAGTGAACTGGCTTAGCAGTGCAGCTTCATTAAGTAGCAAGTGACTAGGGAAGCCATGCGGCTGGTAGCTGCAGTTAGTGCAGTGGAATGGGAAAAAATGGTGTGCACGGGGTGAATATCTATAAATTCATTAATTATATCTTTTTTTTAAATATTTATTTATTTATTATGTATACAATATTCTGTCTGTGTATATGCCTGCAGGCCAGAAGAGGGCACCAGACCCCTTTACAGATGGTTGTGAGCCACCATGTGGTTGCTGGGAATTGAACTCAGGACCTTTGGAAGAGCAAGCAATGCTCTTAACCTTTGAGCCATCTCTCCAGCCCCCTCATTAATTATATCTTTAGTAACACACAGGGACTTACTTCATACTAAATTGTTCCCTTTACACTTAATTTTTCAAGTTTTTGTGACGAGGTCTCATGATAGAGCGCTGGCTGGCATAAAACTTGACTTAGTAAAGCTCAGAGACTACAGACAGCTACCATGTTTGGCCCTAAAACCTAGGTCTTTTCAAAAGCAGTGAAGATGACTGAGAAGGACAGGCTTTATTCACTCGAGACAAGGTCTCCTGAAGCGTGACTGGCTTTGAACTCGTAGAGCTGAGGCTGGGCTTGAATTTACCTGCTTCCACCCCCCCTAAGTGATGAAATACAAGGTAGACTTGTTTTAAAACATTCCTCTTTTTGGTCTTGGAGGTGGATATGATAAGAACACATATAATTTATGGATATCTTCTGTGGAATTAGAGATAAGCTGGTAATAAATGACAGGATTTTAAAAATTACTATCTTATGTGTATGGGTTTTTTTGCTCGCATGTATGTGTGTGTGCGCCATGTGTGCCTGGTGCCTGCAGAGGCCAGAAGAGGGAGTTATAGATGCCCTGGAACTGGAGTTAGAGAGGTTGTGAGTCACCTACCATGTAGGTGCTGGAAATCAAACTTGGTCATCTGGAAGAAGCAGCCAGTACTTTTAACTGCTGAGCCATCTCTCCAGCCCTGATAAAAAGGATCTTACTCATTCTTAAAGTAAGCAGGTATTTTATTAGTATTATGAAATAATTTTATTTTGAATTTGCTTGATACAATTATAGTATAAATATATTAAAATGAATATGAATGTAATCTTTATAAAAACGAGTGCTGTGTATTCTGAAAAGAAATTCATTAGGTAATAATTTGGCCTTTGATATAAATAAGAAAAGTGTTCAGAGAAGAAAATATGACCCACCGTGTATTTTCAAAATCTCAGTTATTTCACATTTTAATTATCACTTGTTATCACTTAAGCTGTATGGATTTAATGACTTCTAGAAAGTATGAATTTCTTTTAGGACTTGGTCAGAAAAATTTTAGGATGTGTTGCCTTAACCAAACATGTATATGTTCTCGCTTTTATTGTTGATATAGTGCTTGACAAAAAGTTTAACCTTTTACAGTTTTTGTTCAAATATGCATGACTGTAGTGGCCAGAAGGATAGGTAGAGGAGTATTAGGGTAGGTAGAGGAGTATTAGGGTAGGTAGAGGAGTATTAGGATAGACAGGATCCAGAAGAAGGATAGGCAGAGGAGCATTAGGATAGGTAGAGGAGTATTAGGGTAGGTAGAGGAGTATTAGGGTAGGTAGAGGAGTATTAGGGTAGGTAGAGGAGTATTAGGGTAGGTAGAGGAGTATTAGGATAGGTAGAGGAGTATTAGGATAGATAGAGGAGTATTAGGATAGGTAGAGGAGTATTAGGGTAGGTAGAGGAGTATTATTAGGATAGGTAGTGGAATGTTAAGATAGACAGGACCCAGAAGGGAGAACTGAAGTACCCGCTGGCAGACATCTGTCATGCATACTGTTTGCGGTTATTTTGTAAATCTTAATGGGGTGATACAAAGAAAAGATGCCTGCCCGTGCTCAGCCATCTCATGACGAGATACAGGTTAGAGTGCCTGCTATTTGAACCAAGGGTGGCACTTGGTGGACTGTTAGAATTTTGAAATTTCTTCCTGCTACCTCTTTTTTTTTTTTTTTTATTTTCTCTGGGTATCTTTTTGCTCTTCTCAATTCTCTTTTAAAATACCCCTCCCCCTGAAGCCCTCTGTAAAAAGAGCAGTGAAAACACTTCCTGGCTTCCTAGCCGCTTCTTCCTTTCTGCTGCTTTCCAGTGCAGATGCCACCAGGTTCTTTTCTTTAGCTTTTATTTATCTCAGCCTTTCTAGTGCGGGGAACACCGAGTGAGCCACCACAGCCAGCCAGCAGTAGTTTTCTAGTCAACTTCCAGCTCTTTGACTTTTACAGAACTCTGTTCTGCTGCTGCTCCTCCTCTCCCTGCTGATTTCCCTCTTTGCGATTCCTCTCCTAGGCTTTAATTATCTTCGAAGTAAACGATGCCTAAGTGAAGTGTGCAGCTGGAACTGGAAGTCCTGAGTTCCTGCTTCCTGTTACTACTGCTGTTTACTTTGGGCAGATTCCCTGTGTTGGCATTTGGGAACTGTGGGCATGATCTAGATGACACTATACTTATGTAGTGTTTTTGCATATTGAATGAGGAAAAATAGTGGCCTACATAATTATTAGTAGGCATATAAGCACTTTGAATGATATGTTTGCCTATTTATTATGTGTATTTTTTTCTTACATTGATATGGTCAAATTTTATAAATCCTTGTGTATACTGGGCAAAACTGTATCCCACTGAGAAATACCACAGCCCCAATATTTCAAATTTACCTTAGATTGGAGAAATTTTGAGGCATTCTAAAATTGTAACAAATTACATTGAGAAAAACATAATTTAAAAACGTTTTACAGGAAGGTGTTGGTGCG